GGGTTCCCCGTAATCCATACAAAACCCGGGATTTGTGGGGGTGTTTTTTTTTTTTTTTTTTTTTTTTTTTTTTTTTATTCGTGCCTTTCGGGGGGGGCGGGTTTCATCCCAGGTGACCTCATGAGCGGCCGGGTCAGGCAGCAGCGCCAACAGCAACTCTTGCCGATAAACCTGCATCTGCTGGCCAACCCTGGAGATTCGTTGCTTCTGCAGCAGACGCTGGACCACCTGCTGCGCTGGCTGTGCCCAAGCCTCCGGATCTTCCATGTATCAGAGAGGGCTTCCCCCTTCAGAGCTCACACTCGCCTTCGTCCTGTGGCCGGTGAGGATTTCTGCTGTCCCTCATCTTTTATCGCAAAGGATTCAAATAATTGTTCAACAGCAAGGAGAAATTAAGGAAATTGAGAATTTGATGGCTGCAACCAACAAGTGATATTAAAGAAAATTAATTGGCACATTCTCTAATCTTTTGTTGAAGATCCAGCCTTTGCCTAATTTTTTCAGACTACCCTTCTCTGGCCATCACCTTCTTCCTCCACGAAGCCTACGGAGAGGAGCGGATCCTCAAAGTGCTGGACTTCTTCCAGCGCCAGCCCTGGCAGTACCACCACACCGAGAGCTGCGGCAGCCGAACCAGAGGGATCCACATCACTTCCAGCAGTTCCCCCTCCAACGCTCTGCTGCGGCCCTACCTCCTGCCAAGCAGAGACTTTTACAGTCTGGGCCCCGGCATGCCTGTGTGGGGGGTGCGACCCGTGCACTGTGGAGGAGAAATCCTGCGCATAACGCTGTACAGCAGCTACGACAACTACGAGGACGCTGTGAGGTTCTACGAGACGGTTCTGCAGCGGCAAGCCGAGGAGCAGAAGGCTGGTTTCTGCTGGTTCACCCTCCATGCAGGTTGGATTTATGTTCTTTTAACCTTCGTTTAAGTAAGAAATCAAGCTACGGATTTTAAATGGTGTCCCACAACATATTCCTCCTCTGTTTTGCTTTGCTTCATCACATGTGTGCCTGCTGCTCCCTTTTGTCCTTTGCTGCATAGAGCCTGGTCTCTGCCTCCAGCTGGCCTTGAAACAGCTGTCTCCAGGGGTTGGAGTGGAAGCGTGCAGCTCTGCTGTGCTGCAGTTCAGTGTGGAAGAAGTGGGACAGCTGGTCCCCCTGCTGCCCAACCCCTGCACCCCCATCAGCAACACACGCTGGCAGACTGAAGACCTGGACAGTAACAAGGTTCTCTTTCAAGTGAGTTTAAGAGATTATGTGTTTAAAAGTGTGATGTTTTACAAATTTCATCGTTATGAGCAGTGCATACACGAGTGTGACTGACGGCGCTAAGACCCTACTACTCCTGGCTCTGATTGGTTGTTTGTGATCAAGCTGTGTATTTCTGCAGATGGCAGTAGAGCAGAGGAGCTTAATATCTGTTTCATATAATATTGTCAGCACATAGACAGTTTTAAAAAATATATAAAAAAGCTTTTTTGGTCCTGTGATTATTCAACTGGATCTGGTTTAGATGTCAAATATGACAATGACTCTCCTGTTTTTTTTTTTTTTTGTTTTTACAAAGTAAATCTACCACAGATCATAAACTGTGCTAGAGAGATTTTATTGAATTAAGTCAACAGGAGCAAATATCATGTTTATTTTAATGTTTCCTAAATAAATCACTTAATGAATCTCTTTAAAAATGGTGGTGGAAAAAACAAAAAAAAGACGCATTTAATTACTATGCTTACATTTAAAGTCCTGGGGTAAACTACAATCCTTCTCCTCCTGTGCTACAGGTGAAGTCTCCAGCTCAACCTCGTCAACCTCTGACCTGTGCATTCCCTCTCACCTGCCTCAGTTTGCCACCTCAAGGAGTGCAGCTCCGGAGCGGCGGACACGGAAACAGTTTCCTGCCATGCGGCCTCACCGCTTCCCTGACGATGCAAACTCACAGGCGAGGTAGGAAGCTACAGATTGGACTCATTTGGTTTCCTTCCCACCGTTTATAACAGCAGTCTGTCTGTTAACAAAGTTAGGTTGATGCGGACCAGCAGGCCACATGCGGCCCCCGGTCGGAGTACTTTCAGCCCTGATTGTAGAATTGAGGTTGGGAGGGCCATAAAAAAATCTTTCAGAGGGCCTTAAATGGCCCCTAGGCTGCCCTGTGAAAGCTCCTGATCTAAGCCGCTCATTGTAACTCTGAACTGATCATTTTTCTGTATCCTAACGCTGCTTTAAACTTCACAGCTTTGAATACAAATTCATCCCCACATTTTCTCCTGTTATTTGCAACATTTTTTTGGGCCCTGCTGATGTGTGTTTGCCAGGAATCAGACCGCGCAGCGAGCCGGTTCTTGAGAAGCTGCTTGGCGGATGTGGAGGAGCAGAAAGTCTGGGGTCAGGCAGCTGCTGCAGCACCCCTCCTGGAAGCTCCTGTTACTCATCCCAACGCAGCAGCCCCGCTCAGCTCTCCACCTCCAACCACCCCGACTCTCCCCTGCGCCCCTCCGTCACCCGCTCTCTCTCCCATCTCCTCCTGGAAGAGGAAGAAGAGGAGACCAACGTCGACACTGGAGTCGCCGTCTCTCTCCTCTCTGACACCTCCATCGCAACCATCACTCGCTCCTCCTCTTGTGACCTCTTGAGGACTCGTAACTCTGAGAGACCGTCAGTGGCTGAGGCTTCACCTGTGGGGCAGCAGGCCAAGGAATTGACTAAATGTTTGCCACAGACTAACCATCAGGCGCCCTCTGGTGGCTGTAAAGGTGCAAAAGAGGAGAGCAGGACCACTGTAAGCGGACAAAGGCCTTCACAGAAGCTGCTGGCAGAGAACAGCACATCGACAGAGCTGTTGTCAGCATACATAAACCTTGAGGAGCCGGTCGATGAGTTCTTTATCTGATTTCCCGTCACATCATCTGTCCACAGGTCACAGTGGTGCAGCCTGATAAACGAGGGCCTGTTCTGGAGAACAAAACGGAGCAAAGTACCTCGGCAGGCGACCCGCTTCACCCAGAGGTGTCTGAACCCTTTAAGTGGCTTTACTGGTCTTACTGGTTCATGTTTTACAATAATGACACTCTCCAGAGACCCAGCAACTTCCAGATTATGTTAGCAGAAAAGCGCTGACTGTGTTAAACTTTTACACAGTACTTTACAATAATGTCCGCCTTAAAGTTTTTCTCATTTTCTAATGTTGCTACCATGAACACCAATGCATTTTATTTTGATTTTAAGTGACAGACCAGTAAAAAGTAGAGGATAATTGGGAAATAAAAGACAAATTATGATTGGTTTACAGTTTTTTTCTTGTCATGGATAATAAAAAAAAGCATCAGCTTTGACCACCCTCCGTTACTGCTGAATGAAAGAAGTCCCACAGCATGATGCTGCCACTCCAGAGCTTTCCTCCAGTGTTTTGCCGGCTGTTTTGTTATTACTGAAAAAGCGAGTGGAGAAACTCCTTTCAGGCAATGCTACAAAGTTCATATAGCAAAGCTAACAATACAACCTTTATTTAAAAGGAATTTTCTATAACTTAACACATTTACAAATGTTTCAAAGTCTGAAAATAAAGCTTTTTTCCAGTAAGTAAAAAAAAAAAAAAAAAGTTAGTCTCCAGATATTTCAAAATAACGCACATTGGAACTGTTATTACAAACGTATCTAGTTTTGTTTTGAGCTCACAGAGTTTTAATAGTTCATCTAGAGAAAGTCGTCAGGTATATATCTGAGCGCTCTGTTGTTTAAAGAACATGCATCTTTTATCACGATGTTGGTCCGGTGTTGATGTTCCAGCCTGGTTTATAGAAAGCACCACCCCAGCTTACTGCTCTGTAATACGGTAGCTTGTCAGAGATGATCGGTAGCTTTGTGATCAGGTTGTCAGGGTTGGTTAATTTACAAACTGATTATTTAAAGCAGAATGTACGACAACAAAACATTAGATTTTTTTTAATGCATCTCAACTCGTGTTGTATATAATAATAACCTGAGTTAATGAAGCTCTATAATATTCATGCCTGCCTACATATATATATATATATATATAAAATATTCTTTGACCCCCTGGTGGTCAAAGAATACCACTTCACTACGCCCTCTCTTATTGCACACAGGCCTATCACATGAAAATATGAAAATCCACCAAGTGTCTACTCATATATCTGTTGTTTTAAAAAAAGAAATCAGGTTCAAATATTTGTTTGCCTACTATTTGTTCCCACACAGTGTAGAAAGCTTTAGGCTCTCTGTTATATATGGGAACATAGAGCACAGTCACAGGTCAAAGTTCACACACATAGCCTGCCACAGGTACTGGTGATTGAAGAGGCTATAACTAAAATATATAGTTTTTCTTAAAAATATTAACCAAATAGAGTGTTGCACTATCTGTTTGAATTTGGCAGATCAAATCAAATCTGCATTAGTTAAGACAATAATTACACATACCTCGTATTAGTAGCGTTCAGTAGTATAAATACTGTGTATGCTAATGGAGTGCTGTCACTGTCAGGATCTAGTGCCAACATAAGAGCTATTGTTCAAAAAAGTGCAGGACCCTTCCTCTATGTGAATAAATTGCACTTTTAATTTTGCAGCTCCCCCTGGTGGTCAAAGAATATCATTACTCCGAGGTATATTGCTGCAGCCAGTCCAGTTTAAATCCTTGGCCCACAGGCCCTTTCTGGTGACCCGCACCTTCACTGGGTCGAACCTCCAGAACCGCTGATTTTTGAACAGGTAAAGTCGGCCGTCTGGGCGGGTCAGTGCCCCATTGGTGCCCTGCGGCAGGCCGGTCCAGTCTGTCAGCCGGCGGGGATAATAGGGCTCCTGGCGAAGAGTTTTAAGGTTGAGCACAAAGTAGCGAGAGCCCTTGAAGAGCACCATGTGACCCAGAGGGGTGTAGTAAAAAGCACAGTCCAGGCGGCGAGGCAGACCTAGAACCTCGTTCTGCATAGGGAAGCCCGGGTCCAGTACAGTGCCTGTGTAACGCCACATCCGCTTCCCTGCAGGAGAAAACACACTAAGTTCATGATAGTGAGATTTTTTTTTTTTTTTT